CTGGAAAAGGGCCCATGTTGGAAGAGTTAACAAGGTGGCTGCTCAGGAGGTAATGAGTCATACCAGAAGGTGCCTGTGTGGACTGTCTGGAATCCAGAAGATAGAAGGGGAAGCCATCAGGTTAGAAACAGTAGTCACCAGGCATGGTGGCACACACCAGTAATCCCAGCACTCAAGAGGCTGAGGCAGGAGGATTGCCGTGAGTTTGAGGCCACTCACTGGGCTACACAGTGAGTTCAAGGAGAGCATGCACTACACAATAAGGTCCTGTCTCAAAAAAGAAAGAACAGTCATTTATACCATTGAGGATAAAGATGCTCTGGTCCTATTGACTAAGCTATTAATTTAGAGACCTAGTCCAAAAGAATGCAGACTTAGAAGAAATGGGCATTTCCCCTAGGAGCAGCAAATGTGTTTTCTTTAATTGCTCATCTGTCTTTGTAGAGCAGGCCGGGTTGTCAGGCTGTACCCCTGTGACAATGGGCAAAACTGCCCCAGGGCCTGCCCATGAGAAGTCTCAGTGTTATTCTCACTCACTCGGCAGACTGCCAACCTGTGTGCTTTGAGGGTCTGCCTGCAAAACTGAGGACTCTCAGCAAAAGGCCAAAGCTAATTATGTGGCCAGTTAGGTCTCCCTTGCTCAAATCATCAGCATTCTAGTTTTGAGTCGCTTGTGATTTAGGTAAATGCACAACAGCCAATACCCCAGAGGTGGGACTTGCCTACGCATAAGGATACAAAGCAGGGCCACAGTGGGGCACTGCCACAGCCAGCTCCCTGCCCGAAACAGCTGCTCCCAGGCCCTCCTTGGCCTGTCCTACCTCTGGCTCTATTAGGATTGCATATCCCCTTTCCTACCGAGACTACATCTCAAAAACAAAATAAAATAATAAAGATATTCAAACTTCCACTCGAAGACACGGAGCTCTTGGATGAAAGTCTTTCATGAATGGCACAAAGAACCAAGAATTCCTCACAGAGTCTCAGCTGGGGACACAAGGTTACCAGCTTCATCACCAGGCTGGCTTCCTGAGCATCCTGAATTCCAAAGACTGAGTCAGTTGAAGCCCCAGGGCCACGGGTGGGTTTTAAAGGAAGAGGGGGCAAGGGAGGGTGATGGTCAGTAGAGGAGAGGTGACTCAGTGTGACAGATGGGATTGGCTGTCCCAGGGACTGAGCCCAGCTCTCCTGAAACAAAGCCCTGAGGGCCACCAACAGGATCCTCAGGACCTGGTAATTACTTTTTAAAAGCCTCTAGCACACCTGGCTCTGCAAAATGTTCACTTAATGTTTGGACACAGGTTTGGGAGCCTGAGGCATATACATTTGGGAGAGGGGACTCTAGAAACGTGAAATTAGAGGCAGAGCCTCAGGAGCTCTGTTTCAGAAGGAAGCACAGGACCCTGAAGCTTAAGCTTCAGTACTGTTATGTAAATCTGCCTAGGTGTCTGTGCTGGGGAGTAAAAAATACCGGATCCCAGAGGATCGGAAAGCGCTCTTTGAATGCCTAGATGGAGGATGGAAGTAGGGGTAAGCTCAGTGCCTGTGTTTTGCTTTCTTGATCTTATTAATCACATTCTCCATTTGTCATCTGTACATCCAGTTATAGATTAAAATGCTAAACTCTGAGCTACTCAAGCACAGGACTTATATCTCATTTGCTTTTGTGTCTCTAATACTTTGTTCTTTGGAGTTTTTGTGGGTTTTTAAAAAAATTTTTTTGAGACAGGTTATCACTACATAGTTCAGGCTGGCTTTGAACTCATTATGTAGCCCAGGTTGACTAATTCATGGTGATCCTCCTGCCTCAGCCTTAGCTGGAATTACTGGTGTGGTACTTTGTACATATGCACAAGCCAAATATTTGTTAAAGGGAAGAATGGATGAATGAATGAGTAGGTGAGTGAATTTGCTCAGGCACTGAGAATTTATAGTCCTTTATTGTTCTACCTCTCTTCCTCCTGACCACATCCAGGAGAAAAAATGGAGTAACAGAAATGGATGAGCTCAGGAGTCACCAAGTTTGAATCCCAGCTTTGCCATACACCTTCTATATGATCCTAGGCAAGTTGCCCAACATCTCCATTTGGTCTTAGCCAAAAGGCCGAGAAGCAATGCCCAACATCTCCTAACCTCTGTTTCCTTCTCTGTGAAAAGGACCCCAATGATACCTGCCTTTGCTATGAGCATCAGGAATAAACTCTTCGAAGCCCTAGTACATGATAGTTCTCAGTAAATGACATTTGTCTTAGGTTCCTGACAGGCAGACTGTGGCCCACGGGCTAACTCTGGCCCTGACTGGGCTTTGCTCACAATTTTGTTTATTTATTTATTTATTTATTTAATTTTGGTACCGGGGATCGAACTCGGGACCTTGTGCTTGCGAGGCAGGCACTGGAACCACTGAGCTAAACCCCCGGCCCCTGACTGGGCTTTTTTGTACATAAAGTTTTATTGGAACACAGCCATGCCTATTGGTTACACATTCTATGGCTGCTTTTTTTTTTCTCAATAAAATTTATTTCCTAGTATAACAAGACTATAAATAGTCTTGACAGAGACTAGATAGCATGCGAAGCTTCAATTATTAACTGTGTACATGGTTTAGGTTTGTCACCCTCTGATTTAGGCCTTTATCCTCTACTCTCAACTGTACTTGTCTTTTCACTGGTCTCCAAGGCTCTGCTCCTGTGTTCTCCCTCTACTCTGCACTCAGATGCTTTTTAAAGATACAAATCCAACTGGATCCTCCCTCTACTCAGAAGCCTTTGTTAACTCATCATTTTGTGCAACTCCCTGGTATGGTTTTCAAGATCTGTCACAATCTGACCCCACTCTTTCCCTGCCATTCTATCTCTTTACAGTCCCTCTGTTCTGTGTCCTGCAGGTCTGGTCAGTTGCTTGTGCTGCTCTGTAAAGAGCCTGTCTCCTTTTTGTTGTTAATTTTTGGTTTTTTGAGACAGGATCTTAGTGTGTAATTCAGGCTGGTCTTGAACTCAGTATGTAGCCCAGGCTGCTGGCCTTGAACTTATAGCAATCCTCCTGCCTCAACCTTTTGAGTGCTAGGGTGACAGGCATGTGCCACCACACCCAGCTGAGAGCCTGTCTCTGGAATGTCCTTTTCTCTGTTCTGTATTGTCCAATCAGCTTTGTCTTCCCAAGCTTTTCTGTAAAGCCTGTTCTGATCTGCCTCTGCTCTGTTATGTCGGGATAGGGTAAGTTAGGCTGCAATAATAACTTCAGAGTCTCAGTGGCTTGAAAATTCAAATGAATCAGAGAGCTGGGTATGAAGCTCAGTGGCAAAGTGCCTGTCTGGCATGTGTGAGGGTCTGGGTTCAATCTTAGCACACACATACACACACTTACACACACACAGTTGAACAAAGAGCCACTTATGTACAAGCAGACCCACTCCTGAAGTGCTCGTGAAGTGCTCTGTAACATTTTTCTTCCTCTCTAGAATAGAAAAAAAATCCTTTGTAAGATGCAAACGACTAATTACCTTATTAACAGATACTTGTCCCTTAGCCTAAAACAACTGCTCTACTACAGGTTGTGGCTGATAAGTGATTATAAAGAGTGGGCTTCATTTAACGAAGAAAGAAGGGAAAGTCTGGGGATATAAATTGTAATTAGAGTCATGCTTAGGTCTGCTCCTGGCCACAGCAAGACTGGGCCCCTAGGGCTTCCTGTGACTCTCCAGCTGTGCTAGAGGCAGGGAGTGTGTGCCTGGCCTCAGCCTGTGTACTTCTGTTGGTACCCTCCCTGGAGGGCAGGAAAACCACCATTTTTGTTTGTTTGCTGTGCTGGGAATCAAATCCAGTCCCTCACTCGCAGTAGGCAAGTGCTCTGCTGCTGAGCTGTATCCCAGCTCCATGGGCTCTTGTGACTGTGCCTCAGTAGCTCAGGGACGTTTCTCCCCCTGCCTGCCGGCTCTACCCTGCCAGCTCCCATCCTGTCCAGACTCTGCCATTGGCTTCTGCCCAGCCCCTTCCGCCCAGCACCTGAGAAGGCTGGCCAGGCTTGCCCTTCACTCTTCCCACTCTGTCCCACGTCTCTTTAGCATCCTTTCTGCTGCCCCAGGCCCACCTGCATTTAGGGAACACTTGAGGAGTAGACTCGGCTCCTGGAGCCCAGGGCTGGCGCCTGAGTTGCTGGATCGCTGTTCTGCGTACTTCTACTTTACACGCTGGCCCCAAGAGCCAGTGGCACATGGACAGCCAGAGAGCTTCTGTGTTGTTCCCTGTTGTTTCAGAAATCACTGCCTGTGGGTTGGGGTGTGGCTGTGTTAGAGCGACTGCCTGGCATGCAGGAGGTCTGGGGTTCAATCCCCAGCACTGCAAAAAATAAAATCACTTACTAACATAATGATAAGGAAATGGCGAGGTTAGTTACTGTATGTAGTAGTGCCAGTGAAATATCACAGTGCACCTCATAACTGTGTACAATGATTATGTGTTAACAAAAAATTTAAAGGGAGTGTTTAAGGCTCTGCCTTGGTCTACGATGAAGAGGAAGTACCCCACTGTGTTTGCTGAGGAGGGGTCCTGGGTTCCCAGGCACCCATTCCAGGGCAGCATCTCCTTGCAGAGTCTGCCTGAAGAGAGGTTTGAGAGCCTCATAACTGTCTGGTGCTGGCTGCTGGATCAGCACCTTCGCTTGAGCAAGTTAAATTTATTGCATCTGAAGCCTTCTTTTGAAATAATTTCACATTCTGTTACACTGGGTAATTTTTTTCTAAACAAAAGAAATACATAGTTTCCTTGCTTTTTTACTTTTTTTTTTTGCAGTACCTGGGATTGAACTCAAGACCTTGCGCTTGTGAGGCAGTCGTGGGGCCACTGAGTTAAATCCCTGGCCTCAATCCTTGCTTTAAAAAAAATGTTTAAGGATCTTTTCCGCCCGCTCCCCCACCCCATGCGCAGCTCCGATTGCACCGCGCTCGCTCGCTCTGAGCTCCCGGCTTCCCGGCTCCTGCTAAGCTAGAGCGGTCGCGTCTCCCTTCAGCCACTATCATGATTATCTATGGGGACCTCATCAGCCACGATGAGATGTTCTCCGACATTTACAAGATCCAGGAGATCGCGGGCGGCCTGTGCCTGGAGGTGGAGGGCAAGATGGTCAGTAGAACAGAGGGTAACATTGAGGACTCGCTCATTGGTGGAAATGCCTCCGCTGAAGGCCGGGAGGGCGAAGGTACCGAAAGCACAGTAGTCACTGGTGTGGATATTGCCATGAACCATCGCTTGCAGGAAACCAGCTTCACAGAAGAGGCCTACAAGGGCCGGGGATTTAGCTCAGTGGTTCCGTTGCCTGCTTCGCAAGCACAAGGACCCGGGTTCGGTCCCTGGTACCAAAAACAAAAAACAAACAAAAAGTTAAAAAAAAAAAAAAGAGGCCTACAAGAAGTCCATCAAAGATTGTATGAAATCAAAGGCAAACTTGAAGAACAAAGACCAGAAAGAGTAAAGCCTTTTATGACAGGGGCTACAGAACAAATCAAGTACATCCTTGCTAATTTCAAAAAGTATCAGTTCTTTGGGCTGGGGATTTAGCTCAGTGGTTCCACCGCCTGTTCCGCCTGTTCCGCCTGTTCCGTAGGCTCAAGGACCAGAGTTCAATCCCCGGTACCAAAAAAAAAAAAAAGCAAAAAACTATCAGTTCTTTATTGGTGCAAACATGAATCCAGATGGCATGGTTGCTCTCCTGGACTACCGTGAGGATGGTGTGACCCCATTTATGATTTCCTTTAAGGATGGTTTAGAAACGGAAAAATGTTAATGGATTTGGCAGTTACCTTGGATCTATCACTTGTCATAACTGGCTGCTGCTTGTCATCCACACAACACCGGGATTTTAGACAAATGGGACTGATGTCATCTTGAACGCTTTGTTTATTTTGATGTGATTTATTTGGAGTGGAGGCATTGTTTTTCAGGGGGAAAAAACCATGTCATGTAGGTTGTCTAAAAATAAAGTGCATTTAAACTAAAAAAAAAAATGTTTAAGGAAATGGAAATGCTAACTACCCTGATTTTATACACACACACACACACACACACACACACACACACACACACATTAGTATGTACTGGGCATGGTGGTGTATGTATAATCTCAGGACTTGGAAGGCTGAGGCAGGAGATCACAAATTCAAGGTCAGCCTGGGCTACATGGTGAGCTCAAGGTCAGCCTGGACTACAAAACAAGACCCTAATCTCCAAAAAGAAGGAGAAGGAAAAGGAGAAGTTGAGGAAGAAGACTGGCACATGCCTGTCATCCTAGCACTCTTGGGAGCTTGAAGGCTGGAGGACCACAAATTTGAGCCCAACCTGGGCAATTTAGCAACTTTTAGAGAGACCCTTCTCAAAAAAACAAAAACACAAAAACAAAACAAACTGAAGACTAGGGATGTAGCTCAGTGTGAAAGCCTTGGGTTCAATCCCCAGAACCACAAATTAAAAACAAAACACCAGCAGCCCCTCCTCCCACGCCTCCCCCTATCAGTCTTCTTTGCTGTGCTGGGACCTTGGACTCAAGTACCAGAGCACTGCAATCCCGCCCGTTAGCCCAGGCACAGCGCCTGCCCGCAGCGACCCCCAGGGCTGGAGAGGGTCGTAGTGCCCATCCCTGCACCCAGGCCCAGCCGAGGGCCTCACCTCCCTGCAGGCCGACTGAACTGGCATCCCCGCGCACTCTGGATGGAGCCCGGGTTCAGTTCACAGGTTTCACAGTGCTGTGGCAAGCCGATGTGCAGGAGCGCCGTTCCCTTAGGGAAACACTCTGGTCCTCACCAGTCCCGGTCTGCAAGCTAGCTCCTGACTTTGACCTTCACCTTGTATGTCCCTGGCTGGACCCTGTCCCAGGCCATCATTAAGGAAGGCTGAGTTTCCTTTGGAGGGCCCTCTGCTCTGTCTCTGCCCCATGGAGGCCAGCTCTTCAGGACTTAAGGCAGACAGCAGGGCCTGGAGGTCTGAAAGCATAAATAGGGCTCCTTCCACCCACAGGGCCTTTCACTCACATGAAGCAGTTAGTGCAGCGTCGGACCCAGAGGAAGCCTGCATGAATGACTTGTGCTCTGGATGTGACGAAATGCAGCGAATGAAATGGGTGTTTTCTCTCCCACAGGAAAATGTTGAGAATGAAACATGAAGGCAAATCATCAATGGGTAGAGTTCATTAGTTTTATAGTGTACAGCTCTTAGAAGAATGTTATTCACATACAATAAACTCACTCCCAAAGGTGTTTAGTATTTTCACAAAGTGTTGCAACTATCTCCATGATCAAATTTGAGAGCAATTTCATCATCCTGTATCCACTGACAGTTACTTCCCATTTGCCCCTCCTGTAGCCTTTGGCCACCAACTAATCCAATTTCAGTGTCTGTGGATTTGCCTATTCTGGAATGCCATCCAAATGAAATCACAATATGTGGCTTTTTGTGTCTGTTCTTTCACTTAGCATAGGGTGTTCAAGATGGGTCCATGTTGTAGCAGGTGTTAGTACTTCTCAAACTTCTACATGACTGCGTTATATTCAACTGTAGGGATATATCATGCTTTGTTCATCTGTGTATCAGGTGACATATATTTAGGTTGTTTCTACTTTTTTTTTGGTACTGGGGATTGAACTTGGGTCCCTGGGCTTGCGAGGCAGGTGGTGTTTCTACTTTTTAGTTATTGTAAATGTAATAAACATTTGTGTACACGTTTTGTGCAGACACATGCTTTCATTTGTTTTGGGCACCTACTTTCGAGTGGAATTGCTGGGTCATATGGTATCTCTGTTTAACTTTTTGAGGAACCACCAAGTTGTACTGCTTAGCAGCTGAACTATTTCATATCTCTACTATCAGTAGATGAGGAATACAGTTTCTACACGTTCCTGCCAACACTTGGGATGGTCAATTTTTTTATTATAGCCAGTCTGGCAGGTGTGAGGTGACAAATCATCATGCCTCTGATTTTCACTTCTTTTTGGGGGGGGGTACTGGGGATTGAACTTGGGTCCTTGCGCTTGCAGAGCAGGCGGTGAAACCACTGAGCTAAATCCCCAGCCCTGATTTTCACTTCTTTAAGGACCAGTGATGTGGAGTATGTGGTGATATATTTATTGGCTGCTTGCATACCTTCTTTGGAGAACTATCTATGGCAGTACATAAATTTAACTCTGCACACATATGTTCACTTTCGCTACCGTAACAAAACATCTAAGACAATCACCTTAAAAAGAGAAACGGTTTATTTTGCCTCATGGTTTCAGAGGTCCAGTCCATCGTGAGCTTGGCCAGTTGTTTTTGGGCTTGTGGCTGGGCACTACACCATGATAGGGTGTGTAGCCGGGTAAGTTGTTCATCTCATGGAAGCCAGGTGCACAGAGAGAGAATGGGACTGGGGTCCTACTGCTGCCTTTAAGGTCCGCAACTGAGCCATCCCCCCAGGACAGCCTGCTTCTTTTTATTTTATAGTCTTTGGTGGTGCCGGGGATCCAACCGTGGTCCTCGAGCCTGCTAAGCACACACTGTACTGCTGAGCTTCACCTCAGCCCAAGGCCCCACCCCTCAAGGGTTCACCACCTTCCCACTGCACCACCGGTCCGGGACCAAGTCTTTGACTCCTGGGCCTTTGCGGGACAGCAGTGCACACATCATGGTCCCCAGCACGGCCTGAAACTGCATGAATTCCGAGATCTCCTTCAGCTACCATTGGTGGCTAGGGTTGGGGGAACAAACCCTGAGGCTGAGAGGAGGACGAGTGCTGTACAGCAGGTGGGGTTTGTCCTCCTGGCTGTCCAGCGGCATCATTACTGTGGAGGTGAATCGAGGGCGGAGTACAGGCAGGGTCCTATTCAGCAGCTTGTGCTGCTGCAGTGATGCCAATTCATAAAGGTCTGACTGCTCTGGTTGGCTGATGCCTGTGCTATCATGGTTGCTTGGAATACCTTGACTGAGCACAGAGTGCCAAGTACATGTGTGTGGCACACATTTGGTAATTTTCAGTTTCCTTTTGTTAAACTGGATGTGTGGTGCATACTGTAATCCTAGCACTCAGGAGGCTGAGGCAGGAGGATCTCAGCGAGTTCAAGATCAGCCTGGACTACAGAGTGAGTTCAAAGTCAGCCTGAACTATATAATGAGACCTTGTCTCAAAAACAAAAAACCAAAAATAAAACAAAACAAAATAAAATTTCTTTCTCTTCTGGACTCCTTTAAGTCCCTAGTTTATTTTTATTTTTATTTTTTGAGACAAGGTCCCATTATATAGTTCAGATTGACCTTGAACTCACTGTGTAACGCAGGCTGGCCTTGAATAGGTGTTGATCCCTGCCTCAGCCTCCTGAGTGTTGGGATTATAGGTTTGTGCTACTATACCAACTGTGTCCCTAGTTATTGACAGTGGGCCACAGATAGCTAGTATCCATTTAAATTTTTTTTGGCAGCATTGGGGATCAAACTTAGGGGTGCTTTAATACTGAGCTACATCTCCAGCTTCTTATACATTTTTTTTTTTTTTTTGGTACCTGGGATCGAACTTAGGACCTTGCGCTTGCGAGGCAGGCGCTGGAACCACTGAGCTAAATCCCTGGCCCTCCTTATACTTTTTATTTTGAGGAAAGGGTCTTGCTAAGTTGTTGAGGCTGGCCTTGAACTTGCACTTTTCCTGCCTCAGCCTCCTAAGTAACTACCCAGGCCTTTCTAGTATCCATTTTCTATTGTCCTGCATCTCTGAAGCATTCCTGGAGTGTGCTTTGATACTTCTTGGTGAATGTTTTGTTTTGTATGCATGGCTTATGCATGTTAGGTAAGCATTCTACCACTGAGTTACACCTCCAGCCCTGTGTTCTGGTCCTTTCTTAGGAAAGCGAAGACTTTATGCTGGGCATGGTGGCACATACTTGGGAGGTGAGGCAGGAGGATTACCACAAGTTTGAGGCCGGCCTATACTACAGTGAGACTCTGTCTCAAACAAAACAAGACAGAAAAAGAAAGAAAGAGAAAGAAAAGAGAGAGAGAGAGAGACAGAGAGAGAAAGAAAGAGAGAAAGAGAAAAGGTCTTTCAGTATATGTCCTTTGCCATGACAACCCTGACAACTGCTGTTATTTCAGAGTTGCATTTGAGCCACAACATTTGTTAATTTGCAGGCGTCTTTCTAAAGGAAACCTTTCTGTACGGACAGGCTGGATTCGTATTCAGTAACTCTGAGGGGTTGTTTATGATGCTGAACTAATGGAAACAATTTCATAAGGGATTTGCTAACTAAAACACGGTGCAGCCACATATTACAGGGCCCAGCGCACTTTTTCTGAGCAAGCAGTTTAGGTTCTGTGGGCCACAGAATCTCTGATGTGACCCCTCAACTTCGCAGTTGTAGTGCAAAAGCAGTTAGAGATAATATATACCTGAACAGGGGTAGCTGGGCTCCCATAAAACTGTGTTTATAGGTAGTAGGGCTGGATTTGGCCTACTGGCCATATTTTGTTGGCCCCCATATAATGAATTTTCACTATGTAATCACTAAAAATCAAATAGGATGATTATATATACTGACAGAAGTCCATCAAGTTGTTTATTTTTTTTGTGGCCCTAGGGATTAAGCCCAGGGCTTTTGTACTGAGCTACACCCCTAGACCTTTTTTTAGTTTTTATTTTGAGACGGGGTCTCACTAAGTTGTTAAGTTGCCCAGGCTGAGTTCAAATTTGTGATTCTCCTGCCTCAGCCTCCCAGAGTGCTCACATTATACAAATGTGCTACCATATGCCTGGGCAAGTTATATTTTTAAAAAACCATAGATACAGGGCTGGGGAATTAGCTCAGTGGTTCCGGTGCCTGCCTCGAAAGCGCAAGGTCCCGAGTTTGATCCCCGGTACCAAAAAAACCCCCCAAATCATAGAGTAT